CGGCCCGCGCTCCGGCCGCTCTTGCGGTTCCTCCCTCTGTTGACGGGAATGGTTGGCGCCATCGCAGCATGACGCGCGAACGCGCGCTGCGTCACATCGTGGAACGCCGGTCTTTTTTCATTCTTTATTTTTACTTTTTTATTTTTTATTTCCCCCCCCCAACGCCGTTTTTTTTTTTCATTCTTTATTTTTAATCTTTGTTTCCCCCCTCCAACGCCGTTTTTTTTTTTTTTTTTTTTTTTTTTGCCTGAAGCGCAGATCGTGCGAAGTTGAGTAATGGTGGTCAGAGAAATTTTCGGGGTTGTTCGTTGACAAAACCCCGGCCTCATGTTTAATCGAGTAATAGTAAAATGGAGATCTATTTTTTTGTAAAAAATAGAAAAAAAAAAAATTCGCAGAGTCTGGACTGCGGCGCAAACTGCAAGAGGGCATGCCCGGCGGCTTCGCCGCGTCATTCTTCTGACGATCGTCGCAATCATCATCATCATTCAAAAACAAAAAAAAAAGAAAAAAAAGGTTAAGGAAAAAGGAAAAAAATCCTCATCCTCATCCTCATCATCATCCAGAAACAAAAAAAAAAGAAAAAAAAGGTTAAGGAAAAAGGAAAAAAATCCTCATCCTCATCCTCATCATCATCGTCATCATCTTCGCGAGCGTTCATTATCGTCATCGGTCATTATAAGCAAAAAAACTGTGTAATTGTTGACGTCAACCATTGTAAACCGACCACTGTGATGGTTGACGTCAACGGAAAGTAATCTCTTCCCTGCCGCGCTTTTTTTTTAAACAAATGTGGTCCGATGGACCACGGATCACTTATTAAACTGAGCAGAACAGATACACTGCACTTGATCTATTTTTAGTCAAAAGGCCGAGAAAGCTACACCTGCCGCGTTTGTGTATCTTTGTGCTCCCGACCTGCGCGCGAATTAAAACTTACAAAAAAGAAATATATATATACAAAAAAAGCAAAAGAAAAACCGCATCCCCCTGCGCCCCGCCGGAGGGGGCGCGGTGGTAACCTCCACATCGGGCCCGCGTCTGTGCCACGTGGCTCTCGCGCGGACTCGTTCTGGCGCAAAGAGTGGGTCCCTCTCGTGGAAACGACTGTTCCCCCCGCCCTTTTTTTTTTTTTTTTAACTGCGTGGCAACGACTGTTCCCCCCCACCCCCCCAACACACACGGACACAAACCTTTTTAATTTTTTTAATTTTATTTTAAACTGCATGGCAAGGATCCGACATGCAGTTAAGAATTTTATTTTAATTATTTCTCCTCTGACTGATGAGATGTACATGTGGAGTTACGGATCTGACTTGGGGGCTAGTAGTCGCACCACTCCTTGTCATCCGCCGACACTTTGAATGCATCTGGACGGATAACTTGTCCTTTATTGGCATTTATTGTTGACAGAGAGACGGAAAATGCAGGTTGAATGTTAGGAGTCGTTGACAGAGAGACGGAAAATGCAGGTTGAAAAAAGATCACGGCTTAAAAAAAATTGGCATTTATTGTTGACGTCAACTTTGGCGACGATGATACTCTCATTCCTGTGAATCGTGGCGCTGCACAACACGGACCTTTTTTTTTTTTTTTTATAATTATAAAGCAAACGCTTTAATTAAAATTAAAGAAAGAAAAGAAAAGGATGAGCAAACGTTAAGGCGGTCCGAATTAGCAGTATGGAAGAGGAATAGGAAGAAAAAAGGGGAGTATAGTGGGAGGAGCAGATACATGGAGGGAGGAGGAGATAAATAGGGAGGAGGAGATCAGAGGGAGGAGGAGATAAGAGGGAGGAGGAGATAGGAGAAGGGGGAAGGGAGGAGGAGATAAGAGGGCGGAGGTGATAAGAGAGAGGAGATATGAGGGAGGAGGAGGTGGACGAAGGAGGAGATAGAGAGAGGACATAAGAGGGAGGAGTAGATAAGAGGGAGGAGTAGATAAGAGGGAGGCGGAGATAAGAGGGAGGAGGAGATAGGAGAAAGGGGGAGGGAGGAGGAGATAAAGAGGGAGGAGGTGATAAGAGGGAGGAGGTGATAAGAGGGAGGAGATATGAGGGAGGAGGAGGTGGAGGAAGGAGGAGATAGAGAGAGGACATAAGAGGGAGGAGTAAGAGGGTGGAGGAGACAGGGAGGACGGGACAAGAGGAGATACAGGGAGGAATTGAGGGATCAACAGGCAGGCACACAGATTGGTGGGAGGGGGGATGGAATAATGGATGGATGGCAGGGGATGCATCATCTATTTATTTATCTCTTTCCTTGTTATTATCTGTTTTACAATCTGTACTCTCTTTTATCATCTGTTTTTCTCTCTGTTTTCTTTTGATTATATTTGTTTTTCACAATTATATGTTTTTCTTCTTCTTTTCTTCTTTTTAATCTGTTTACAATCTGTTCATATTTCTCACTCAATCTGTTTTTCAATCTGCTTTTTTTCTCCAATCTGTTTTTCATTGTTTTTTTTTTTTCTTCTCATCAAATTGAATATGTTTCTGAATCTGAATCTGAATCTGAATCTGAATCTGTTTGTGAATGGTGGACAGAGAGGCGTCTCTCCAATGAAGCGTAGGCTTTCGAATATCATCTGCCCATCTTTAAGTTAGCAGCGCTGATCGCTACACACACACACGCGAAAGGAAAAGGAAGGAAGGAAGGAAAGCCCCACCTGTTCATCACGTCTTACATACAAGGCCAGCCACGTGGATGACAGGTTGAGCGCTGGCTGCCCCCATCCCCGTGTGTCACAAGGACTCACTTGCACGCAAAAAAAAAAAAAAAAAAAGGCAAAAAGGTAAAGAAAAGGAGGAGGAAACCAGACCTCACAAAAGGTCAAAGAAAAGACAAAGAAAGAAAGCAAATGACACATCTCACAGATAAACCAATTGCCACTGTCACTACAAAGTTCCAACATATATATCATCACAAACAGAACTGCCCGGTAAACCGTAGGCAGAGTATTTTTTTTTCTCTTGTTCTTTTTTTCTTTTCTCCAGAAATTGTACTTTTTTTCTCTTTCTTTCTTTTCTGTCCTACAATTGGTGTTGCTCCTGATCGCTTAATTCTATTGACCAGTCAGGAAGAGGAGCCCCCACCCCGGCAGATAGGACAGACACGCTGAGGATGACGTGGATGTTCACAAGGATACCCAAGGAGAGCTGCACCAGCACAGCATTCAGCAGGACGGCTAGCAGGGACCATCCCATCAAAACAGTCCTGACAAAGGGCATGCTGTCCACATGTCAAAAAAACAGCAGGACGTTCATCACATTGCGGCATCATGCAGTCCTGATAGCGTCCTTGAGCACAAAAGGGACAGCGAATATCTGGGTGATAGGGATGTGTACAATGAGGAAATGTTGGACATCCTTCGGCACAGACGGCGGCGGCTGCAATAGATTGATACTGTTGATGGCATAGGTGATGAATTCCGCAGCCAAGATGCACAGCGTCCCTGTCCCGACAGGTGTCACACGAGAGTTCATCAATAATCCAGAATAAAGTATGATTCGGTAATGCACACAGAAATTCATTTGTGTTGAAAATAGGCTGAATCATTGTCCCATCATCCCACAGTTCCCACTGGGCAGCTGCACGAACGAGTGCCGGATAATGCCCGGGTCTGTGAAAAATACAGGCAGAAATATGAGGATGGTCATTAAGGTCATCGCCTGGCGTCTCATGATGCATACGAAGGTGGCGACCGTGGAAATCTAGCTGTAAGACATTTACAGTAAAGCCTGACGGTCAGGGATTGCAGGGTGGGTACGAGTAAAGTCGACCACTTTTCTCTCCCAAGGGTATCATGGGCGACGTGGTGAGCCCTTAGCCATCAGTCAAATGCATCCTGGGAAGATTGTCGGTGTTCAAGCTGAGCCTTCTGATTAGTCGGTGAAAGTCCGGTGAAAGTCTGGCACAGTCATGCTTTGTTTCTGAGTTGTGTATAATAGCGAGCATGACAACACACAGACACAGACACACACACACACACACACACACACACACACACACACAGAGAGAGAGAGAGAGAGAGAGATCTTTAATACGAAAGGAAAAGATGAAGGATGCCTGTTTTGCATTCCATGATCTGATGGCGGATCCATGCTCAGATGGCGGATCCATGCTCAAAACCCCTCACTGTTTATGTCTTCTGTTTGTGATTCTGTGTCTCCCCCCCTCCTCCTCTTCCCCGGGCTTTCACTCCTTCCCTGTTTCTTCCTCTCTTTCTCTCTTGCCCTCTCTTTCGACCCCTCCCTCCCTCTCTCTCTCTCTCTCTCTCTGTTTTTGAAGTCAGCAAGCAAGCACATCATATTTGTGCGCCAATCCTTTTACAGATATCTGAGCAACCGTTTCCACTTCTTTGGAAAGGCACATAAAGTCAGCATGATTGAGTCGTGCACCGTTTCCACTTCTTTGGGACGGCACTCAAGTTTGCAAATATCTACTCTCGGCCACAGACTTGGCTGCTCATCGAGGGAAGTCATCCCGATCCCGATCCCTCCTGGAACAAGTCTATGTGGCCTAAGAGCGAACAATATGCAAGGGTGTTTATCCATATCAACATCCACAAATCGAGGCACAAATATGAATCGTCGGTTGGCCTGCCGAATGTGGGCTGCGGCCGAGAAGAGCTCGGGTTCAACCTCTCCTGCGGTGCCGGGAACTCAAGCATCTGTGCCCGTACGGCCGCCATCTGTGCCTGTACGGCCGCCATCTGTGCCTGTACGACCAGCAACTGTGCCTGTACGACCAGCACCTGTGTCGGTGGAACAAGCAGCTAGACCTGTGGGACAAGCAGCCAGGCCTGCGGGACAAGCATCTAGGCCTGTGGGACAAGCAGATGTGCCTGTGGGACAAGCAGCTAGGCCTGTGGGACAAGCAGATGGGACTGTGGGACAAGCATCTTCTGTGCCTGTACAACCAGCAACTGTGCCTGTACGACCAGCATCTGTACCTGTGGGACAAGCGGCAAGGCCTGTGGGACAGGCAGCTAGGAATGTGGGACAAGCAGAAGGGCCTGTGGGACAACCAGCTGGGCGTGTGGGACAAGCAGCAGCATCAGAGTCGCTGGGTGTTGCTGTGGCTCAATCGTTTGCCGCTAAATGGATTGCAATCTCAGCAGATGCTGCTCTTAGGGAAGATACCGGGCAGCAGGGTGAAGCTGCACCTGGCCAGGATTCCGCTGCCAGTGCGGCTGCTAGTGGTGGCCCTTCGAGGAGCGAAGAGGTGGAAACTGCCGGAGTGGGAGCCTCAACTAGTCCTAAGCGAGCCAGCTCTGGTTCTGATAGTGAGGTAAGTTTTTTTTTTT